GAGAAAGAGAGAAAAAAGAAACAGAGAGACAAAGAGAGAAAGAGAAACAGATAGAGAGAAACAGAGAAAGAGAGAGAGAGGGAGAGAAAGAAAAAGAGAAAGAAAGAAAAAGAGAGAGAGAGAAAAAGAGAAACAAAGAGAAACACACAGAGAAACATACAGAGAGAAACAGAGAGAGGGAAAGAGAGAAAAACAGAGGGAGAGAGAGAGAGAGAGAAGCTCAGTGGCAAGATTTGGGATCTGGAATCATCACACACCGTCCTGATTGAGTGAGGAACATGGAGATGGTGTGGAAAAGAGTTGACTTCCTAGAGAAGAAGTCCTAAAAGTTAAGGGGGGGGGAGGAATGGAAAACTTTCAGAAACTTTTGGGAAGGAGGAGGGAGGGAGGAAGGACGGAAGGGAGGGAGGGGGGAGAGAGGGAGGGAGGGGGGAAGGAAGGAAGAAGAAAGGAAGGAAGGAAGGAAGTTGGAAGGGACCTTGGAAGTTGGAAGGAAGGAGGGAAGAAGGATGGAAGGAAGGAGGGAGGGAGGAAGGAAGGAGGGAAGGAGGGAGGGGGGAAGAAAGGAAGGAAGAAGGATGGAAAAATGGGAGGGAGGGATGGAGGAAGGAAGGAAGAAGGATGGAAGGAAGGAGGGAGGGAGGGAGGGAGGAAAGAAGGAAGGAGGGAGGGAGGGAGAAAGGAAGAAGAAGGAAGGAAGAAGGATGGAAGGAAGGAAGAAGGAAGAAAGGAAGAAAGGAAGGACAAAGTTGGAAGGGACCTTGGAGGTCTTCTAGTCCAGCCCCCTCCCGAGCAGGAGAACGTATAACATCTCAGACAAGCGACTGTCCAGTCTCTTCTTAAAAACCTCCAGTGATGGAGTGCCCATGATTAATATACTGTACGCTGGTTGCCTGAATTTCGGTCACGTGTCCCTGGGAATGGGGATGCTGCAATGGCCATAACTGGGAGGACCAGTCGTAAGTCACTTCCCCCCACCACCCCAGTACCGTTGTAACTTTGGTCACCAAACGAATGATTCCAAGCTGAGAACTACTTGTAGCCTCTCATCTTCTGATTGTCCACTTTTGAGCCTCGTTCGTCTAAGGACGTCTTTGGGAAGACAACGAAGGAAAACGAGCGGCGATGGAGAAAAAGAGGTGAAAATAGACGTTTCGCCATCCGAAAGAGAAATATGGTGAGGCGAGAACTCATTCCAGATGAGATTGCGGTCTTTTTTTTTCATCCAGGCAGAAACATTGGGGGTGTGGGGTTAATGTCATTTTAGGACCAAACAATTCAAGGTACAAGGAGACGAATCTCCATTCAATGTTTAGAAGGACATTCAAAGTCAGAATTGATCTGGAAGGGACCTTGGAGGTCTTCTAGTCCAGCCCCCTGCTCAAGCAGGATACCCTACACCATTTCAGACAAGCAACTGTCCAGTTTCTTCTTGAAAACCTCCAGGGATGAATCACCCACAACTTCTGGTGGCAAGCGGTTCCACTGCTTAATTTTTCTCACCGTTAGAAAGTTTCTCCTTAATTCCAGGTTGCTTTTCTTTACAGATTAACAGAGGTGGAAGGGACCTTGCAGGTCATCTAGTCCAACCCCCGCCCAAGCAGGAGACCCTACACCATTTCTGACAGATGTCAGTCCAGGCTCTTCTTGAAAGCTTCCAGAGATAAAGCTCCCACAACTTCCGAAGGCAACTTCTGATTCATCGGTTGATTGTTCTCCCCATCAGGAAATTTCTCCTTATTTCCAGGTTGAATCTCTCCTTATTCAGTTTCCATCCATTGTTTCTTGTTCGGCCTTCTGGTGCTTTGGAAAATAAACTGACCCCCTCCTCTTTGTGGCAGCCCCTCAAATACTGGAAGACTGCTAGTTCTTCTCTTCTGTAGACTAGCCAAATCCAAACCCTGCAACCGTTCTTCGTATGTTTTAGTTTCCAGGCCCCTAATCATTTTAAGTTGCTTTTCTTTGCATTTTTTCCAAAGTCTCAACATCTTTTTTTGCAATGTGGTGACCACAACTGGATGCAGCATTCCAGGGCTGGTCTTACTTTATAAAGAGGTGCCCTGTTTCCCCCCAAAATGAGACCTCCCCTGATAATAAGCCCAATCGGGCTTTTGAGCGCATGGCAATAAGGCCAAGCGCTTATTTCAGGGTTCAAAAAAATATAAGGCAGGGTCTTATTTTTTGGGGAAAACAGTATCTATCTATCTATCTATCTATCTATCTATCTATCTATCTATCTATCTATCTATCATCCATCCATATCTATCTGTCTGTCTGTCTGTCTGTCTGTCTATCCAATCCATCCATCTATCATCCATCAATCTATCCTATCTATCTATCTATCTATCTATCTATCTATCTATCTATCTATCCATATCTATCTGTCTGTCTATCTATCTATCTATCTATCTATCTATCTATCTATCTATCTATCCATATCTATCTGTCTGTCTGTCTATCTATCTATCTATCTATCTATCTATCTATCTATCTATCTATCTATCTATCATCCATCCATATCTATTTGTCTGTCTGTCTGTCTGTCTGTCTATCTATCTATCTATCTATCTATCTATCTATCTATCTATCTATCTATCTGTCATCCATCCATCCATATTTATCTGTCTGTCTGTCTGTCTGTCTGTCTATCTATCTATCTATCTATCTATCTATCTATCTATCTATCTGTCATCCATCCATCCATATTTATCTATCTGTCTGTCATCTATCTATCCATCATCCATCCATATTTATCATCTGTCTGTCTGTCTATCTATCATCCATCCATATCTATTTGTCTGTCTGTCTGTCTGTCTGTCTGTCTGTCTGTCTGTATCTATCTATCTATCTATCTATCTATCTATCTATCTATCTATCTATCCATCCATCCATCCATCCATCCATCCATATCTATCTGTCTGTCTGTCTGTCTGTCTATCTATCTATCTATCCATCCATATCTATCTGTCTGTCTGTCTATCTATCTATCTATCTATCTATCTATCTATCTATCTATCTATCTACCCTGTTTTCCCCCAAATAAGACATCCTCTGATAATAAGCCCAATCGAGCTTTTGAGCTCATGGCAATAAGGCCAAGCGCTTATTTCAGGGTTCAAAAAATAAATATAAGACAGGGTCTTATTTTCAGGGAAACACGGTGCTAACACTTCATGTGATTCTGATTCTGTGCCTCTGTTTATACAACCAAGGATTGTCTTAGCTTTCTTTTGACTGCTGCCACAAACTGCTGACTCATGTTTAAGCGATCGTCCACTAGGACTCCCAAGTCTGATTATTAAAACTCGGTGGTGGTGAAACGAATCGTCTCAGAAGGAGATCACGGCTGGAGTTTTGAAACAATCGTCTCCTCCTTTGGCTGGAAGTTGGACTGAATGACCTTTGAGGTTCTCCTCAGATCTGCGATGATGTTGAGAAGGGACAGAAACTCCCTCCGGATTAGCCTAAATTCCACTCCAGGTAGAAATACCTGAATTTTCTGAGATTGTGACGTCACACGTAATGTCCTCTTGCAGATGGCGGGTTCACCGTGATCTTCTGGAAGATGGCCATCATCCTACCCAGCCTTCCCAGGCCTTCTCCATATCCCGCTAAGTCTTGAGAAAAACCTGCCATCCTTGATTTGGCTCAGTGTCTCATTTTTCTCCCCTTGGCAAGTGCCATCGCTCCATCCTTTGGACCACTGTCGAAACATCTGGATGCCTTCTGGTGGACCTCCTGACCACGTCTCCATCAGGGGGCAAATTTTTGCTAGGGCACAGCGTTCTTGGCCCCTTCTAAAAAAAAATTATCCTTTGAATCTGCAAGTTCCACAGAGACCTGTTGCAAAGGGCCATTCTTGGCAAGCGAATGGGCAACTTCCCACCCAGATATGGCATGGATACATTTGTACACAAAAATGCTTTTCTTTTTTTGGGGAGTATGTGTGTTCATCGATGCATCGCAAACTGCCTTTGCACAGGGAAGGGTTTACTTAAAAACAAGGCAGGTTTGAAGTCCAAAAAAGCACAGCTCACAAGAGCCAAAATCAGAGGAGGGTTTCAGTAGGTTCTGACCAGTTCTGGAGAACCGGCTGCGGAAATTTTGAGTTGTTCGGAGAACCGGTAGTAAAAATTCTGACTGGCCCTGCCCCCCCATCTATTCTCTGCCTTCCGAGTCCCAGCTGATTGGGAGGAAATGGATATTTTGCAGTAACCTTCCACTGGATTGGGGAGGGAATGGAGATTTTGCAGTAACCTTCCCCTGGAGTGGGGAGGGAATGGAGATTTTACAGTATCCTTCCCCTGCCATGCCTACCAAGCCACATCCATCAAGCCATGCCACGCCACGCCTACCAAGCCACGCCCACCAAGCCATGCCACGCCCACCAAGCCACGCCCACAGAACTGGTAGTAAAAAAAAATTTGAAACCCACCACTGGCCAAAAATGGACTCCCTGGCATCTCTTATGGCCTCTGTGGCGATTGAACCAGTATGGGATCAAACTTTCAACTCTAAAGCTGCCTTCGGAAGTTGTGGGAGCTTCATCCCTGGAAGCTTTCAAGAAGAGACCGGACTGCCATCGGTCAGAAATGGTGTAAGCTCCCTGCTCGGGCAGGAGGCTGGACAAGATGACCTCCAAGGTCCCTTCCAACTTTGTTATTGTGTTCTGTTCTGAAGTGGTGAACACAGAAAGAAAAATTGTCCAGGCCAGCAGGACCACAGCAATAAATCCACCGTCTCCCTCCTTCCCTCAATTTTTTTTTTTAAATGTTCTCTCTGTCCACCGAGGGCCCCTCCCTCAACCCCATCTATTAACAAGTTTCTTTCTCGTGTTGCTTTATGTATGGCAAAGGTCCTCTTTATCTTCTCAGCTGCCACATTCTGATGCTGGTTTATGGACAGTTTTGTATCTTAATTTTGTTTCTTCTTCTTCTTTCTGTTTTTTTTTTCCCTCCCCTTTCTTTCTTTCTTTTTCTTTTTTTTTCTTCTGTTGCTAGCACCGTCACGTGGCCCTGGAGGAAGCCAATGAAGCAAGTATTTGAAATCTACCGTGGTCACCATTTGGAGGCGGGGACTGGACGAGTGTCCGGCGAAAGGCTGCGACTGCCCAGGACAAGTGCACCCACGCAGATCTACCTGGGAGTGAGTTCCGCGCTCGGTCACCAAAGCCGGGCTCTCCATGGGGCTCCATCTGGATTAAGACCTGGAGGAGTCCAAGGCTTTGGCCTTCAGCCACTTTCACTCTTGGAGAACTTCACAGCAGAGGAGAAGCTGGTGGAGTCATAAGCGGCGAGAGAGAGAGAGAGAATCCGAGGGCTCCTTTCCAAGTAAGTGATTGATAACAGGCACTGCCAAGGTCATTGGAACAATTGTACTTTTTATCTACTTCTGCGGTAATTCGTGGTCTCTCTAGCTAAGGATGAGGTGGGACAAGAACCGGTGGACGTTTTGCCTGCCAATCTCTCTGTTTTAGGTAGGCCGAGGTAGCCTAGAAGATCTGGGCTCCCGAATAGGTTGAACTTGAAGTTAAGAATTCTGGACAGTCCCCTTTTTCCGATTTGGTGAGATTTGGTGGCTTCGTTCGAAGCACCACTGGGTGAATTCGCCTTCTTCTTCCCCCACCATCTGGGCTGCTACTACTACTACCATCTTCTCCAACTAATCAGGACGGTGGACCTCCCTAGAGGAGGCCCCAGATCTTGAGGCTGTTTCCCATGGCGGGACCTGGAACGGTCTCACTTCCAACAACGGGGGGGAAAGGGAGGATTTGTTTAGAGAGAGCCCGGGTGCTAGGCTGAGACGCAGAGTTGGCACACCAGAAGCAGGATAGTAGTGTCTTTTGCTCCCTTGGGAGAGATAACACCCACCATCAATCTCCCCCACCCACCCCCCCAAAAAATATAGAAAGCGATTCCTACTCACATCTGGGCACTGCAAAAAAAGCAGATCGTGTGTTTTGAGACCTTTTGGAGAAGACGGCTTGCAAGAAATGGACGAGATCGGGAGGATGGCTTTCGTTGTGGTTTTTCTTTTTCATGCCATCACAAATTCCAGAGGCCAAAAAGAGAGGAAGCTCCTTTTTTAAGACAGAGAAAGTTCTTTGAGTCTCCCCAAGGAAGGGGAGGTTCTCCAGTCTGCTTTTGATCTTGGCTTCAGGATAGGATGACTCTCATCTATTCTTTTACTGGTCTGCAGTTCTTCCAATTTGCCCGTGAAATCCAGATTCCTTCAGAATAACTTGCCCATCGCAGTTATTCTTACTCTCTCGGGCATCAGAGACTCAAGAATTTCTGTGAGGTGGCTTTCTTACTTTCTGTTGGAATCTTATCCGTTTCTTCCAACTGACACGGGCCCGGTCAGTTTCAGCATGACTTGGCTGAAATCCTCTTCCTGAGATCTTTGCCTTTGATGTGGGATTGTCCGAAGGAAGATGAGGAATTTTTGGCTGGGTCCCTCTTGAATTCCATGCTGCACGCAGGGGGACATCTGTGGAACAGAGAGGACAATTTTTGGTGAGGACGGGCCTTCTTGTCCATTGTTCTAGACCAGGGGTGTCAAACTCGTATCATCATGGCATCATCACATGACGTATCAGGACTCCCCCCCCTTTGCTAAACCGGGCAGGGGAGGGGCCAGCATATGATGCATGCACCCTGCGGGCCGCGAATTTGATACCCCTGTTCTCGACTTATTCCCCTCAAGTGAGCCTGGATAGCTCAACAGACAGAGCTCTGTAATTTAACACCAGCTGTCTGCAATTAAAATAAGATCGAATCTCGCCAGGCTCAAGGTCGACTCAGCCTTCCATCCTTTCTAAGGTGGGTAAATTGAGGACCCAGATTGTGGGGGCAATAAGCTGACTTTGTATAAATATACAGAAGTATGAAGGCTATTGCTTAACGCATTGTAAGCCGCCCTGAGTCTCCGGAGAAGGGCGGCATATCAATCAAATTAAAAAAAGTTTGTTGAGGGCCACGCCATCTCTTTGACCAAGCCAAGGGTGGTGGGCACTGCCTGTGGTTTTCCAGATGTTGGACCGCCACCCTAGCATCCCTTCCAACCGATGGCACATCTAGACAACCCCTAACACAAACCTTAACACGCACCAGAGTTGTTCTGCCTCTGCAGCTTCAGGCTGGCCTCGGAGAGACACTCTGCCTATGCTCAGGGGCACTCTGGCTCTCCAGCGACCACGATTCCATGCTTGAGCAGGCATTCCTCTGCAAACATGGCTCTGCTTGTCTTGCCGGCTGCCATTTCCCCTCCAGAGGAGGCTGGGTTTAAAACGCAGGAAATGCTTCCTTCCAGGAAAGCTGCCGGAGGGAAGACAATGCGAGGTGGGGGGGGGAGAAAGTGCCCTCTTCCCCACGGGGAGGCGCATGCCAAAGGCGCCTTCACCTGGATGGGGAAAGGGCATTTGTGATTGTCGGTGTGTGTGTGTGGGTGTGTAAATATAGGAAGCGCACACCACTTCTGTTCTTTTCAAGGCCATCATCTTCCTCGCAAGCCGAGCTCCAGCAACTCAGCCTTGCTCCTTGAGAGGCTAGATTTCCAAGCGCCCAGATTTTAAGAAGGCTATCTTCAATGGGAGGAGGGCCAAAGGGGGGGTCATCTGGTCTTGGCTTTATTTTTTTTATTTTTTTGACCTCTAAAGAGGCTGGGCGGTCTGGAGAGGAGGAGCGGGGTCGCTGGGCCAAGGCTGTCCTGTAGAGGACTACCTTCTATTCCCCTTTTATTATTTTTACATGGTTAGGGAATTCTAGGAGTTGAAGTCCATCTGTCTTAAGCTTGTCAAGGCTGAGAAACACTTACCAGGGTAAACCAAGAATCTTTAAGATCATGATACCTCGGTGCCTTCCGCCGTGCCCTTAAAACTTTCTTTTTCTAGCCAGCCCGGCTGGCTTAAAATAACATTTTTTAAAACATTTTTAACTGGTTTGTCATTTTAAATTGGGGCCAAATTAATTTATATCCTTTTAATTGTTTTTAATGTTTGTATTGTATGTTTTTAGCTGGCTGTACACCGCCCTGAGTTCCTCGGGAGAAGGTGCGGTATATAAATTCGAAATAAAAAAATAAAAATAAATAAATGATAGAGATGAAGAGGCTTTAAACACGTTTTTACCTGTGCAGATATACTCACCCCCCACCCCAACCTCAAAAGGGGGACAAATGAACTGAATGTCAGTTGTGGCAGCCGATGAAAGACAGCAATCTAATAACTTTAAAAAATAATAATAATGTGGATTTGTGTACCATTTCTGGGCATCAATGCAAAGTACTAATGCATATGACCAAAAGAGGAGAGAGTTCCTTGGTCTATCCAAGTGGAAAGTTTTTCAGATTTGTTTTTCTCTGCAGATTCAGCCCATTTGCAAACACTTTGTACAGTGAGGGGTTCTTGGTGCTCTCTGAGCTGTTTTCTTGCAGACATGAAGGGGAAGAGGAGAGGAGAGAACAGAACAGAACAGAACAAGAGAGTTGGAAGGGACCTTGGAGGTCTTCTAGTCCAACCCCCTACTCAGCAGGAAACCCTATACCATTTCAGACAAATGGTTATCCAATCTCTTCTTTAAAACTTCCAATGTACCCAAACTAGGTAACATCATCAGTGCTAGTAAGGAGTGCTGTTTGCCGTCAGTTTATATTCTGGTGTCTTGCCTCTTCGTGTTGGGGAGGTGGGAACGGTCTTAGAGATTCTTTGCTTGGGCTGTTTACTGATGGCTCTTTGGCAGTTTCTTGACTGGGGGTATTGCTTACTTGATTGTTGGTCTGAAGTTGACCTTGGAGTTAATCTATGCTGATCTGGGTGCTGATTCCTGGCGGAGAGATGCTGGAGTCTTTTTTTTGTTCTCTTTTGGTCTGGTTGATTGTCTCTTTTGCATACTCTATATCAGTGATGGCTAACCTTTTTGCCATCGCGTGCCAAAAGCAGCACCCATAATTCCATGTGCTCCGCCCACCCCCGCGCATGCGTGCGTGACCCTACACTCCCCCCGCTTTTGGCACGCGATGGCACGGTGGGCCCAGTAGGCCTGTTTTTTTGCTCTCCCCAGGCTCCAGAGCCTTTCTAGGAGCCTGGGGAGGGTGAAAACAGCCTTCCCCACCCCCCCAGGCCCTCCGGAGGCAGGAAACAGCCTGTTTCCCTACTTCCGGTGGGCCCAGAAGGCCCAAAAAATCAGCTGGCCAGCGTGCGCATGTGTGCCAGTGCTGAGCTCGCATGCCCACCAATATGGCTCCGCGTGCCACCTGTGGCACGCGTGCCATAGGTTCACCATCATGGCTCTATAAACTGTAGATGTTAGGTTGGCAGAAACTGGGACAAGTAACAGGAACTCACCCCTTTACCAGACACTAGGGATTTGAACGACAAGCTCAGCATCTTAGCCACTGAGCCGCCACGTCCCCAGCTTCTGCCAACCTAGCAGTTGAAATCACGTAAAAAATGCAAGTAGAAAAATAGGGACCCCCTTTGGTGGGAAGGTAACAGCGTTCCGTGCGCCTTTGGCGTTGAGTCATGCCGGCCACATGACCACGGAGACATCTTTGGACAGTGCTGGCTCTTCGGCTTTGAAACGGAGATGAGCAACGCCCTCTAGAGTCGGGAATGACTAGCACATATGTGCGAGGGGAACCTTTACCTTTACCATGTTGTTAATGTCTATAGACACTATTGAAACAACATTTCAACCCTGAGCTACAAATATTCTCCTTTATTAGTACTGTGGACAGTTTCTCCCCTCCCACTAAAGTGGGCTCATTTCTGATCTGTTTTCAAAGATAGTTTGCTGACAGATGTCAGAAGCAGATGGACAGAGTGATGAAGGCTTGGAGAGAGTTGATGTCCAATATCAGATTGCAAAGGCTGAAAGCCTTTGGCGGCTGAATGGTTACACGGCTCCCCCTGCTGGATTTTAATGGATAGGCAATGTTCTGTTGGGGAAAAAAAATAGAACCAGGCCTGGCAGATAGAAATGGTTTAATTCAGTGAGTCACCACTGAATTGGATTCAACCCTGAGTGAGTACATGTTCAAATCTTGCCATTTCAACCTCTCTCTAAAGGTAAAGGTTCCCCTCACGCATATGTGCTAGTCGTTCCCGACTCTAGGGGGCGATGCTCATCTCCGTTTCAAAGCCGAAGAGCCAGCGCTGTCCAAAGACGTCTCCGTGGTCATGTGGCCGGCATGACTAAATGCCAAAGGCGCACGGAACGCTGTTACCTTCCCACCAAAGATAATCCCTATTTTTCTACTTGCATTCTTTACGTGCTTTCGAACTGCTAGGTTGGCAGAAGTTGGGACAAATAACGGGAGTTCACCCCGTTACATGGCACTAGGGATTCGAACCGCTGAACTGCCGACCTTTCGATCGACAAGCTCAGCGTCTTAGCCACAGAGCCACTTCATCCCCTCTAACCTCTCTCTCTCTCTCTAGTAATGACTAACTACATTCCTATCATTTCAGCCTCTTCTAGTCATGACTAAGTGCATTTCATCCATCTACACTAATCTTTTTTTAAAATTGGAAATTATAGATGGGGCAGACTTCAACTCCCAGAATCCCCCAGCCAGAACGCAGGCTAGGGAATTCTGGGAGTTGAAATCCACATATCGTAAAGTTGCCAAGGTTTTACAACATTGATCGACATTATGCAGTCTACCATTTGCTCAGTTCATGCCTAAGATCTAGGTAGACTGTCTACGTGCTGATTATCTTAGTCTAGTGGTTAAGGCATCAGGCTAGTAACCAGGAGACTGTGAGTTCTACTCCTGCGTTAGGCATGAAAGCCAGTTGAGTAACTTTGGGCCAATCGCCAGGAGACAATGAGTTCTAGTCATTAGCCATGGGTGACTTTAGGCCAGTCACTCTCTCCCAATGCTGCTCCATTTTGAGCCTCTTGGATTACATGAGTGGAGTGTAAGTTGCCTATCTTGCATTTCACACTCTACACATACACACAATGTAACGCAAAGGGGAAGCAGAAGCTCATACAACTCCATTACTTCATTACACAGAAGGTAGCTTCTTCTTCTTCTTCTTCTTCTTCTTCTTCTTCTTCTTCTTCCTCTTCCTTCTTCTTCTTCTTCTTCTCCTTCTCCTCCTCCTCCTCCTCCTCCTCCTCCTCCTCCTCCTTCTTTTTCTTCTTCTTCTTCTTCTTCTTCTCCTCCTCCTCCTCCTCCTCCTCCTCCTCCTTCCTCTTCTTCTATTTCTCCTCTTCCTCCTTCTCCATCTCCTTCTCCTTCCTCTTCCTCTATTTCTCCTCTTCCTCCCCTTCTTCCTCCTCCTCCTTCTCCCCGTTTCTCCTCCTCCTCCTCCTCTTCCTCCTCCTCCTTCTCCCCATTCTTCTTCTTCTTCCTCCTCCACTTCTTCTATTTCTTCTTCTATTCCTCCTCCTCCTCTTCTTCCTCTTCTATTTCTTCTCCTCCTCCTCTTCTTCCTCTTCTCCTTCTCCTTCTTCTCCTTCTTCCTTTTCTTCTATTTCTCCTCCTCCTCCTCCTCTTCTTCTTCCTCACAAATCAAACATTTGGTGGAAAGCGATATAGGTAATCTGAGGGCACATGTTTTGAAGGTTGCGCGCTTGAGGATGAATCATACGACGGGTAGCCGATTCTAAGAGTCTTCCCCCCTCCCCCCTGATGGGGAAGTGATAACTTAGTTGGGTTTTTTTTTTCTCCCCCTCAAAGGTGGTTTCAGTTGCTTTCGCCGGGTTTGTCTGGCAAAACATAGTTTTTGCTAACAGGAGATTACTGGCCACCACCATACAGAAAAGATGTTGAGACTCTGGAAAGAGTGCGGAGAAGAGCAACAAGATGATTAGGGGCCTGGAGACTAAAAACATATGCAGAACGGTGGCAGGAACTAAGGAGAAATTTCCTGACGGCGAGAACAATGAATCAGTGGAACAGCTTCCCTCCGGAAGTTGTAGGTGCTTCATCTGATGGCTTTCAAAAAGAGACAGTAACAGTAGAGTTGGAAGGGACCTTGGAGGTCATCTAGTCCAACCCCCTGGTCACGCACTACTAGGGATTCGAAACACCGAACTGCCAACCTTTCTGATCGACAAGCTCAGCGTCTTTGCCACTGAGTCCCCTTAGTCAGGCTAACTAGGGCAACCATTTGTCTGAAATGACACGGGGTCTTCCTGCTTGAGCGAGAGGTTGGACTAGAAGACCTCTGAGGCCCCTTCCATCTTTATTTTTCTATGTTCCCTGACGCTGAGTCCATGGGTTCAGCTGGGGTATATGTCCTATAGCAGCGGTCACCAACTGGCGAGAAAATTTTGGTGGTCCACAGAACAATTATTTGCATTTTTAAATATTGCACTAAATCAGGGGTCCTCAAATTACGGCCCCTGGGCCGGATACGTGCAATGAACGTTTGTGTTGCTGCAGAGAGTCTCCCCCTTCGCGGTCTTTTTGTGTGGGTTGGAGAGGGGCAGAAATTCCGACTCGGGGTCTGCTTCGGCCTCCTGGTGCGGGGCTTTGGGCGAAGGCTGGAGGGAAGAGCCGCTGGTGGCAAAGAGCCGGAGGGCCTCGTTCCAGTGGGACAGCATCATGGCCTGGAACTGGTTGACCATCTCAGCCCGCTGAGCCTCCAGGTGCCAGTACGTGGCCTTGCACTCCTGCAGGTCTTCCCTCTGCTTGGAAAGCCTATGCTCCTAGTCCTCAGTGAGGTGCTTCTGCTGAGCCTCCTTCTCGGCCAGATCCAATTTGAACTGAGCTTTTTTTGCCAACTCTTTCTCGTAGTGGCTGCTTAGCTCCAGCAACTGCTTCCTGTTGGGGTCCTAAGGAGCCCGGGCGGGCAGGCGAGGAGCGGCGATTAGAGGCTGGCAAGGTGCCCCTCGATGTGAGTGACATCGATTTGGCCACGCCCACCCAGTCACATGACCATCTTGCCACGCCCACCCAGCCTATCATTAGGCAGATCGTATTAGTGGTCCGCGGGATTTAAAATGATGAATTTAGTGGTCCCTGAGGTCTGAAAGGTTGGGGACCCCTGTCCTATAGGACTAACCAGGTTGTGTCTGAGTAGCTTTGGGATCTAGCGGGAGCCCTCCAGAACAGGGGTTTGTTTGTTTTGTTTGTTTGTTTTATTAGATTTATATACCGCCCTACTCCCGAAGGACTCAGGGCGGTGAACAGGCACAAAATAAAATACATAGATACCAAAGTTAAAAAACATAATTAAAACCAGATTAAATAATTTAGCCCGAGACAATTAAAAAATCCCAATAATTTAAAACAGATTAAAATTTCGATGTAAAAGAATTTTAAAACAGGGGAGAAAAATTAGGCCAGGCCGGCTTGCTGGAATAGGAGAGTCTTAAGAGCACGGCGGAAGGTGCGCAGATCTGGGATCCTCCGTATCTGCAAGGGGAGCTTGTTCCAGATAGCGGGTGCCCCCACAGAGAAGGCCCTCCCCCTGGGGGCCGCCAGTCAACATTGTTTAGCTGACGGCACCCGGAGGAGCCCCTCTCTGTGGGAGCGTACCTGCCGGTGGGAGGCTGTTTGTGGTAGTAGGCGGTCCCGTAAATAACCAGGTCCTAAGCCATGGAGCGCTCAAAGGTGGTGACCAAAACCTTGAAGCGCACCCGGAAGACCACCGGGAGCCAGTGCAGCTCGCGCAATGGTGGTATACCACCATTGCTCCAAAGCCATGTTATCTTCAAAGGATTATGAGGTGGCTTCTAAAACAGGCTGATCCCCCCCTCTTGCAGGGTGAGATGGGCTACAGCACCTGGGATGCTCAGATCTGGCCCACAGGGCTGCCCTGGAAACAGCAAAGGACCGGCCCGCGGTGTGTCTACCAGTGAAAATGGAGCTCGGGAGGCTTCCCGAGCTCTGTTTTCACTGGCAGAGGATTGCAGGAGGCTATCGCAGCCGAAAACGGAGCAGGAGGCCGTCATAGCTGAAAACAGAGCTCACAAGGGCCATGGGTGGCCCCCCCGAGCTCCGTTTTCCCTGGCAGAGGGTTGCAGGAGGCTATCGCAGCTGAAAACGGAGCTCGGGAGCCCTTTTTCGCCTGCAGAGTGCTCCGGCTGCCATAGGCGCCCCGGACACAAGTGACGTCGAGCTGGTCATGCCCTCCCCGAGGTCAAACACAACCCTGATGCACCAGGTTTGACACCTCGATTTCTGTCAACTCCTGTTTCTCCTTCTAGGTTGGGGACCAGATGAAACTTCTTCAGAACTGCTGGAGCGAGCTGCTGGTGTTCGACCACATTTTCCGCCAAGTCCAGTACGGGAAAGAGCACAGCTTGGTGTTGGTGACAGGCCAGGAGGTACGAATGGGGAAACGGAGGCTCAGGACAGGTGGAGAAGCCCTGCCGGCTCATTTTACGCTTTTGTCTCGGGGGGGGGGCAGCCAAAATAACCCCCATCTTATTGCATTTAATCCTCGTTAAATGGTGAAGCCCCAATCCTGCCTGATTTTACCTTGAGAACAGCCCCCACTGCATCGCCAGGTAGGGTGCAGCGGTGAAATCCTCTGAAGTCTGCTACCGGTTCTGTGAGCCTGCTACCGAGTGCATTGCGCGTCACAGCTAATCGTCACCCAGCTGATCATCGGAAATACCGGTTCGCCCGAACTGGTAGCATTTTTTATTACCGGTTTGCCCGAACCGGTCTGAACCGGTAGCATTTCATCCCTGGTAGGGTGGCCAGGTGTGCTCTGATCTCAGACGGATTGAGGGGTCCAGCCCAAACAGATTTGGAGGTGTCCTTTGCACCCTTTCATCATTCTGGGGTGGGGGAATCACAGGAGAAGACCCGGCATGGACGTCCTTTCTCTCCCCTTCTCCCCCTCCTTTCTAGGTGGACATGTCGACCCTTGCCACCCAGGCAGGATCTATCCTGAACAACTTGGTGCTGAGAGCTCAGGAGCTGGTGCTGAACCTGCACTCCCTCCAAATAGATCGGCAAGAATTCGTCTGCTTGAAATTCCTGATTCTCTTTAGCCTCGGTGAGTGGGAAGGAGTGGGGATGGGAGAGAGGGGAGGGCAGTCCTGGGGACCCCACGATGGGAACGGTGGAGATCAATTGAAAAACCTCTGCACAACAGATGTTCAGGAACCATGGGATGGAACTGTGGGGAGCAGGATCCCCAAAGTCCTGTCCCACAACTGTCCGTGAGCCACGGTGGCGCAGTGGTTAGAGTGCGGTACTCCAGGCTACTTCTGCGGACTGCCGGCTGCCTGCAATTTGGCAGTTCGAATCTCACCAGGCTCAAAGTTGACTCGGGCTTCCATCCTTCTGAGGTGGGTTCAAAGGAGGACCCAGATTGTTGGGGGCAATATGCTGACTCTGTAAACCGCTTAGAGAGGGCTGTGAAGCACTGTAAAGTGGTATATAAATCTAAATGTTATTGCTATCTGGATGAAAAAGCCCCCTCCCCGAGACTTCAGTCCAGCTCCTCTTGATGTGCCCATCTCCCCACTTGGCCAAAAATATCTGTGGCTCTAATAACAGGAGACGAAACTCTTCCTAGATAAATTTTTTGGGAAGAGCAGTCCAACTTCTCCGATGCCAAAATCAAATTTCGCTCCATTTGTAGGCTTCATTCCACCTGCATTGTTTCTGCTCCAACTGTTCCAGGTATGATGTTCCAGGTATGCTCACTTCTGGGACAGGTATTTCTTGGTGGACAAAGGAAAAGATCCCTGGGCCCAGATCTAGGCTTATCTGTCTCTCCTTTTTACTCCATTGTGTAACCAAGCATCATAACCTATGATGTCAGCAAATTCTGATTGGCTTGTTCCATTTCCTTCCCTGCCTGGCTGGGCGGATTTGTCACCCACTGAGGTGTGGATCTGCCAGCCTAGAACCCATTTGCAAAGGGAGAGCCCAGCAACATCTCCAACTTCTGAAGATGACTTATGGAAGGCCACCACCGGAATCCTAGCAAACAGATGGAGAGGGACGCTCAACAGCCACCTCTCGTAGATGTTGTGTTGACATGAACATCTCATGAACATGTCAACATCTCCTAGATGTTGTGAACGTGTCCGGCTGGTCCATACGTGCCACCAACCTCTTGACCTGATCCAGCTTCTGAAGGCCATCTTAACATCCTTCCGTTCTCCAACGAAGCATCAGATTAACAGAGTTGGAAGGGACTTTATAGGACATTTAGTCCAACATCCCTCATCTCCCAAGCAACACCATTTCTGACCGATGGCAGTCCAGTCACTTCTTAAAAGCCTCCAGGGATGAAGCTCCCACAACTTCCGAAGGCAACTTCTGTTCCATGGGTTGATTGTTCTCCCTGTCAGAAAGTTCCTCCTTATTTCTAAGTTGGAATCTCTCCTTGGTCAGTTTCCATCCATTGTTCCTTGTCTGGCCTTTGGAAACTAGCTTGGCCCCCTCCTCTCTGGGGCAGCCCCTCAAATACTGGAAGATGCTCTCCTGTCTCCCCTGGTCCTTCTCTTCCCTAGACTAGCCATGCCCAGTTCTTGCAACCGTTCATCGTATGTTTTAGCCTCCGGTCCCCTCATCATCTTGGTTGCTCTTCTCTACACTTTTTCTAGGGTCTCAACACTCATCTTTTCCACACCGTAGAACTATCATTTCCCGCTCCCTCCGCATTGCGTTAAAATGACTAGAGCTGGAGGGATCCGTGTGTACCTCCCTTCCTCGGTCCTGCATTCGAGTCTTATCCGCCAGGGCCTGTCCTGGCCTTTTGCCTTCCTTGGGGTTCCGCTGCACCCAGCCCACCTCCCCTATTATGTGTCCCCGGCTGTAATTGCGCTCTGCCAGAGAATTTTCCACCTCTCCGCCCCCCTCCTCTCCCCGTGGCACAATCCGTGCGCCTCCCTGCACACATGTGCACAAGAGGCTTGCCATTTCGAGTCGTAAATAGATTTCTCTCTCTCTCTCTCTCTCTTTTTTTTTTTTCTTCTTCTTCTCCTTGTTCCCTCTTCCTGAGTAGCTAAAGAGGTTTAATTAAAATTAGGGCTTCTCTAAGCAGCAATATTTATGAGGACGGCACAGGTTAGCTTTGTTCTCCAGAGGGGTTTAATAGAGCCTTAATGGATTGACCTACCCTGCATCTTCGTACGGGCGACTGACTTCCATTCTCCCAGCAGCCACTCCAAACGAAGGGGGGAGCAGAGCGAGAAAACGGCTTTTTATTGCGGGCTGCATTCCCATAAGCGATGGCAATTTATCAGAAGCCTCCGGCAAACAAAGGCAACTGTGAATGAGAGGAACACTTGAGAGCATAGAAATAGTCTCTTCCCCCCCCCCACATCTCATCCCTTTCCAGTGGTTTCCCCCCCCTCCCTTCTTCGCCAGGGACTGGGGCTTTTGTCGCAGGACGGAGGGAGCTGAGCTGGGGATGGGGAATGGCATTCTTTATGCTCCGTCTCCCGCAGGAATGAAAAGATTATTCAAATATTCAATTAAACTGTGAATAGGGTGCCTTCTCCAAACCAGGTGAGTTCATCGCCACGAACCTGCTATTGTCACGCCCAGCGCAGCGGAGAGAGAGAGTGAGAGAGAAAGAGAGAGAGAGGAAGGGAGAGAGAGAGGGAGGAAGGGAGAGAGACAGAGAGAGAGAGGAAGGGAGAGACAGAGAGAGGGAGACAGAGAGAAAGGGAGAGAGAGACAGAGAGAGCGAGGAAGGGAGAGACAGAGTGAGAGAGAGACAGAGAGAGAGAGAGAGGAAGGGAGAGACAGAGAGAGAGGGAGACAGAGAGTGTGAGAGAGACAGAGAGAGAGAGGAAGGGAGAGACAGAGAGAGGGAGACAGAGAGAGAGGGAGACAGAGAGAGAGAGCGAGGAAGGGAGAGACAGAGGGAGACAGAGAGGGAGAGAGAATCAGAGAGAGAGAGGAAAGGAGAGACAGAGAGTGAGAGAGAGACAGAGGGAGAGGAAGGGAGAGAGAGAGTGAGAGTGAGAGACAGAGAGAGAGAGTGAGAGTGAGAGACAGAGAGAGAGAGGAAGGGAGAGAGAGGGAGGAAGGGGAAGCGAGAGAGAGAGAGGGAGACAGGGAGAGAGGGAGAAAGAGAGAGGAGAGACAGAGAGAGAGAGAGGAAGGGAGAGACAGAGAGTGAGAGAGAGACAGACAGACAGACAGAGAGACAGAGAGAGAGTGTGAGAGAGACAGAGAGAGAGGAAGGGAGAGAGAGAGAGGAAGGGAGAGAGAGGGAGGAAGGGGAAGAGAGAGAGTGAGACAGAGACAGAGAGAGAGGGGGGAGAGAGAGAGTAAGGAAGGGAGAGAGAGAGGAAGGGACAGAGTGAGAGTTGAGAGTGAGTGAGTGAGAGAGAGAGACTGAGTGAGAGAGAGATAGAGAGAGAGAAAGGGAGAGAGAGAGAAAGAGAGGAAGGGAGTGAGAGGGAGAGAGGAAGGAAGAGACACACGGGGGAGGGAGAGAGAGAGAGAAAGAAAGAAAGAGAGCTGACATTTAGCCAAGATGCGTGCTTTCTGGTGATGGTGAATGGGAGGGAAGGTTCTTTGTTTTCACACACACACACACCTGTGACTTTCTATTATCCCCCACCCTCACGCCGTCCATTTGCGCACGTTCAGTGGAGGGGAAGAGGTGGGAATTGCCCATTCTGGAATTGAGTAGGGCGTGGCCTGACCATTCCTTCTCCCAGTCAAAGGTCTTTCAGGAAAGGTAGAGGTGCCAGAGATGTCCCTGTTTTGGGGGGGCAGGGTGAGGCTCCTGGAGACATCATGATGATGATGATGATGATGATGATGATGATGATGATGATGATGATAACAACAACATTATTGTCATTTCGTGATATATCCATACAACAAAACTGTATATTCCATACAACGAAATTCACTTAGCACCCAAAGACCAGGTCCAACACACAGAACAATCCCCAAACACCCCCCACCCCCACCATAAATCCCCCACCCCCTAAACCACCCAAACATCCACACAACAGACCAAGTAATGCTAATAATAATTTCCCAGGAATTAATAAGATTGCAATGCCGATAAAAGAGGATATTTGTAGCTCAGGGTTGCTATTTGAGGGGTCCTCGGTGCTCTCTGAGCTGGGTGGTTTCCTTGCAGAAGTTTCACGAGCCAAACTAGGTAACATCACCAGTGCTAGAAAGGTGTGGGTTTTGCTCTCTCTCTCTCTCTCTCTCTCTCTCTCTCTCTCTCTCTCTCTCTTCCTTCTCCCTCTACCTCTCTCTTTCTCCCTTCCTCTCTCTCTCTCACTCTCCCTTCCCCCCTCTCTCCTCTCTCCGTCTCTCTCCCTTCCCCCTCCTCCCCCCCTCTCTCCCTCTCCCTCTCTCCTTCTCCCTCTCCCTCTCTTTCTCCCTTCCTCTCTCTCTCTCACTCTCTTTCTCCTTCCTCTCTCTCTCCTCTCTTTCTCTCTCTCCCTCTCCCTTCCCCCTGTCTCTGTCTCTCTATCTCCCCCTCTCTCTCCCCCTCTCTCTCCCCCTCCTCTCCTCTTTCTCCCTCTCTTTCTCCCTCCTCTCTCTCTCTCCTCTCTTTCTCCCTCTCTTTCTCTCTCTTCCTCTCCCTTCTCTCCCTTCCCCCCTCTCTCCGTCTCTCTCCCTTCCCCCTCTCTCCCCCCCTCTCTCCCTCTCCCTCTCTCCTTCTCCCTCTCCCTCTCTTTCTCCCTTCCTCTCTCTCTCTCACTCTCTTTCTCCCTTCCTCTCTCTCTCCCTCTCTTTCTCTCTCTCCCTCTCCCTTCCCCCTGTCTCTGTCTCTCTATCTCCCCCTCTCTCTCCCCTCTCTCTCCCCCTCCCTCTCTCTTTCTCCCTCTCTTTCTCCCTTCCTCTCTCTCTCCCTCTCTTTCTCCCTCTCTTTCTCTCTCTTCCTCTCCCTTCCCCCTCTCTCTGTCTCTCTCTCTCCCTCTCTCTCTCTCCTTCTCCCTCTCCCTCTCTTTCTCCCTTCCTCTCTCTCTCTCTCACTCTCTCCCTCTCCCTTCCCCCCTCTCTCTGTCTCTCTCCCCCTCTCTCCCCTCTCTCTCCCTCTCCCTCTCTTTCTCCCTCTCCCTCTCTCTTTCTCCCTTCCTCTCTTTCTCCCTTCCTCTCCCTCTCCCTCTCTCTCTCCCTCTCTCTGTCTCTCTCCCCCCCTCTCTCCCTCTCCCTCTCTCTTCTCCTTCTCTCTCTCCCTCTCCCTTCCCCCTCTCTCTGTCTGTCTGTCTGTCTCTCTCTCTCTCTCTCTCCCTTCCAGCCCTGATGATAATACCTAGTTGGGTAATGTAACGTCTGCAAGGAAACCACCCCGCTCAGAGAGCACCAAGGAACCCCATCAAATTGCAATCATTCCATTCCATCCTTTTGGAGACATTCTGTCTTTGCAGGGGCTCAGAGTTCATACCGACCTGAGGGCGCATCATCTAAGCGTTTCTCAACCTCGGATATTTCCAGATGCATGGACTTCAATTCCCAGAATTCCCCAGGGCAAGCATTTCCCAGATTTCTATGGCAGGCTGGGATATTCTGGGAGTTGAAGTCCACGCGTGGTCGCCACGAAGTTGAGACACTAGAAAGAGTGCAGAGAAGAGCAAGAAAGAGGATTAGCGGACTGGAGGCTGAAACATACGAAGAACGGTTGCAGGAACTGGGTATGTCAAGTTTAATGAAAAGAAGGACTAGGGGAGACAGGATAGCAATCTTCCGATATCTCAGGGGCTGCCCCAAAGAAGAGGGAGTCAAGCTATTCTCCAAAGCCCCTGAAGGCAGGACAAGAAGCAACAGGTGGGAATTCATCAAGGAGAGAAGCAACTTAGAACTAAGGAGAAATTGCCTGACAGTTAGAACAATTAAGAAGTGGAACAACTTGCCACCAGAAGTTGTAAATGCTCCAACACTGGAAGTTTTTAAGAAGAGGTTGGATAACCATTTGTCTGAAGTGGTGTAGGGATTCCTGCCTAAGCAGGGGGTTGGACTAGAAGACCTCCAAGGTCCCTTCCAACTCTGATTCTATTTATTCTATTCTATTCATCTTGAAGAGAGAAATGGCGATCCAATCAAGAGCTGCAGTATTAATTGACAATAAAATAATTATCAATTAATTAATAATTAATTGCTGTTACTAAATTTGGGACGTCTCAAACAGGTGCCTGGGGAAACTCAGCAGAGCCAGACCAAACAAACAAACACACAAACAAACAATTAAATTTATCTAGAAACATCTATGAAATACTCAAGATTGTGCAATAGGATCAGGGTGGATAAAAAGCAATGATTTTTTTTAAAAACATTAAAAAAAAATCAGATTTTTTTTATTTAAATCGGATTTTTTTTTATTTAAATCGGATTTTTTTTATTTTTATCGAATTTATTTTAATAAAAAAACTTTTGGGGTAAAAAATCTATCGTAAGGTAGTTTTCTATTTAAGATCCATAAATAATTTAGTTTATTCAGCATGAAACGGAGCTTAGTTATGGAGCAGGAGGCTGTATATTCTGCAACACTGGGACTATCGGTGAGTCAACAGCGGGTCAAAGGAGTAGCAGAGATGACAGTTGCTCTTTAAAAATTATGATTTAAATCGAGTTGATTTAAATCAAGCCTTTTTACTAGTGATTTAAATCGTGATTTAAATCAACTCGATTTAAATCAAATCCACCCTGAATAGGATGTTTCCGACAATGACCGACCGAGACTAATAGCGATGGGAACCAAGGTAAGCCGGTTTTTATCAGGTGGCTCGCACACCTGCCAGCTACCTTGCTGGCTTTTCTGCAACATAGCCTCTGCTCTCCGTAAAGCTCTGTTGCCCACAATATACCCACCATGGCCCATCTGTGCCAGGCAGCGGGGATCACGGTTTCTATGCCGGCTGAGCCGCCTGCCGGCTTTGTGGAGGCCAAGCAGATTAAGGACAATCTCTCCGGCCGGAGTTTGGAGGCGAAGGCAATCTGGTGCCTCATCTGGCAGGGAGGCGAGGACAATCCAGGCAGCGAGGGAAATTGCCTTGTTTACCTATTGTGACATTTTCCCTTGCTGGGTTGACATAATCAGAGCCGGGAGGGACCTAAGAGATCATCCGGTCCAACCCGCCCTCCCTCCTGCTCAGGGTAGGATTGACTGCAGCATCCGAGACCGCCCGGCTTGTATCTAAAGAAGATCAATCCTTTAAAAAAAAAAAAGAAGAAGAAGCCAGCGTTAAGCAGAGACATTGGTTAGATGCGTTTTGCCTTGTTTTACAACCTTTCTCACCCCCGTCGTTAAGCGAATCGCTGCAGTCGATCAGTTCATAACAACCCGGTGATTCAGTGAATCTGGCTTCCTCATTGACTTTGCTTGTCAGGAGGTCGCAAAAGCGGATCACGCGACCCCCCTCCCTGGCCGTCGTAAATACGACCCCGTCGCCAACGTTTGCAAGCGATCCCAGGGAGTCTGCAAAACGGTCTTGAAAGTGTGACAAACGCTCACCGTTTTTCAGCGCCGTTGTAAGTCTGAACGGTCACTGAACGGATTGCTGTTACAAGGCCTCCTGCTCGGATGGGCGCCCAGCGAGTTTCGCTCTATGACCGTGATTTCCGCCGCTTGCCCTAAGCCAGTGATGGCTAAACTTTTTGCCATTGTGTACCAGGAAAGGGAGGGGGGCGGGGGAGGTTCACGCACGCGTGTGCCCACACCCATAATTTTATGTGCCCTGCCCAACCCCCCTTCCCACCTTGCTCCTGGCCCGTTTTTCTTTGTCACCCGGCTCCAGATCCTCTCTATGCATCTGGGGAGGGCGTAAACAGCCTTCCCCACCTACCCCCAGGCCCTCCGGAGGCAGAAAACAGCCTGTTTCCCTACTTCTGGTGGGCCCAAAAGGCCTGAAAATCAGGTGGCCGGCATGCACATGCGTGCCAGAGCTGAGCTGGCGTACCCACTGATATGGCTACGCGTGCCACCTGTGCCACGCGTGCCATAGATTTGCCATCACGGCCCTAAGCGAATCGTGGCCGTTGTTACATTAGTGACAAACGGACTGATTCCGCCTGCAAATTTAGCCGTTTGCAGACTTGCCAAACTCCTGGCTGGGGAGGGGGGGGGCGGAAGGAAGGAAGGCTGGACTGACACCCACCTACCCCTCTTGCCCGTTTTCTCCTTTTGGCTGCAGATGTGAAGTACTTGGAAAATTCCAGCGTGGTCAAAGAAGCTCAGGAAAAAGCCAATGCTGCCCTGATGGAATACACCATCTGCCATTATCCCCACGCCATGGACAAATTCCGGCACCTGCTGTTCCAGCTGGCCGACATCCGGGCCCTCAGTATGCAGGCCGAAGAGTACCTGTATCATAAACACCTGGGCGGGGAAGTGCCCTGCAACAACTTGCTGATTGAAATGCTGCACGCTAAGCGGACTTGAGGGCGACCGACGGACGGACGGACGGACGGACGGAGGAGGAGGAGGAGGCTGGGGCGATGGGGGAAGGGGTTGACAATTAAGGGGAGGCTCTCCCCAGCCTCTGGGTTTTGACCCCGCGTCCTTTCATTGTCCAGCGTGCTGGAATCAGACCAGTTCCGCCCTATTTTTTGTCCCAGGTTTTTGGGAAACCTGAAAAAGGAACTTACTTAAACTTTGGAGGGCGGCCCTTGGAGATGGTTTGGAAGCTGCAGGAAGTCTGCAGTGGGTGGATCCCAAACATGGGTGGGTGGGTAGGTGTGAGGGGGGGAGAGAAAGGGGCAGCCCTGTCTTTCTTCCCCCCCCCCCCCCCCGCCCCCCCAGGCCCCCCCCCCCCCCTTCTTTGTCCCAGGAGTGCTGCACATCCGAAAAAAGGGGAAACCTATTAGCATCCCCTTGGAAGGCATAACTGGGGCCGTTCCCTCTGCCATATCCGATGCATTTTATTATTTTTTTTTGCAAGGAAAATGCGGGTACCACCCGCACCTCAAACACGGCCTTGAAGATGCTTTTGGGGTATCCGGAGATCGGAGCAACTTTGGGAAGGCGCATGGGGAATCATTCCTCCTTCCCGCCCATCCCGCTTCTCGATCTCCCAGTGGGAAGAAGCCAAGATCTTTTTGCAAAAAGTTTTAACAGAACTAGTTCCGTTTTCAGTTCAGTTCGCATGGCATCTCTCCCCTCCCCCCCAGCATTCGTTCGGTCCACGGTACGGTGACTTGAGAGTTTGAGGGCCGTATCCTAACGAAGTTGGGTCCTCTCCGGAGGCTTGTGAAGCGGAAACCTCTCGAGGGCATGAAATTGTTAACTGATTCTCTCTCTCTCTTGGGTTTTTTTTCCTCCCCTTTTTCTTTTTAGCCTAGCCATTTAATTTTATTGGTTGCTCCATCCAGCAAGAAGCACTTCATTTTTTTTTTCAACGGCCTGTGAAGGGAACAGTTGCCATGTGTCCTTGATAAGAGTCCCTTCCCAGAGTCCTAAATCCGTGTGTTAATTTCATTAACGAATGAATTTCTCAGCCAGGAGGACTTTTTCCTTGGGGCAGGGAAGGGTGTGTGTCCAGGAAAGGCCAGATTTTGACCGTAAAGCCACCATCCATCCAACAGTGATTCTCACCGGCGTCCTGAGATTTTCCAACCCTTCCTTAAAAACCCATTCCAGCTTGCAAGAAATCCTGAACTTACTTGCTCGTAGAGATACGGTGTGTGTGTGTGTGTCTGTTTCCTATGAATGTGTGTCTATTTTAAGTAGTTCTCAAAATTCAAGATTCCTGTTGAACCCCTGGTCCACGAAGGTCAAAACCTCTTCCTGTTTCTTTTTCTGGTAGCTTTGTTCCTCTTTGCTTAAAAACCAGGGTATTTTTTTTTGCAAAGAAATTTGGGAGGGGTGATGGTGGAATCATTTCCTTGAGAGCTCTGACCGTCCAGTCACATCATCCGGTCTTGGCAGGGACGGTAAAATTATAATATTTTTAGCTGAGCGCTTCAGGGCTCTTTCTTTAAGCAGACAAGCCGGGGATGGACTGTGGGACACCCCCCCCTGCTTTTGAGGAATAGGGATGAAAAGAGTTTGGGGATACAGTGGGGTGCATTTTCCTCTCCTTGTCCTCATCCTTCCCCCCACCACATCCCCAAAAATCCCCTCCAATTCGGCCTCTTCGGAGCTGTTGAGTGCCTTCCCACCCAGGTCTCGGCCACGGTCCGATTCTGCTCCCCCATCCCTGCTCCTCCTCCATGCTGCAAGGCTGGTCTCTCTTGTGATGGCTTGTCTCTTGTGTTTTCGACGCCGACGCCTTTCCTGCTTCGTTGTGTGACTTCGGGACAGCCGTCTCTCTCTCTCTCCGTGTGCGTCCCGTGGATCTGCGTGGTGTGGTTTGAAAGAGTTGGGAGGATGTCCTCTTGGAAAGCAAGCATGCTTTCTGGGTTTGCCAGTGGATCTGGGGGAGGATGGGGGTGGGGGTCTTCTTTTCCCCAGCCCTTCCCAAACATGAAAAGTGCTCTTAAGTGTCTATGCCCCCCCCCCACACCCTTCCTGTCCTCCTTCCAGAAGTCTTGGAGTTCTACCTTGCCGAATTCAGACATTCCAATAAATTTTGTAATTCTGCTACGGTCCATTTCTGAATAGTTCTTTTTTTCCCTTGGGTGGTGTCAGTGGTGGGTTTCAAATTTTTTTATCTATCGGTTCTGTGGGTGTGGCTTGGTGGGCGTGGCATGGCTTGGTGGGTGTGGCAGGGGAAGGATACTGTAAAATCTCCATTCCCACCCCACTTCAGGGGAAGGATACTGTAAAATCTCCATTCCCTCTCCACTCCAGGGGAAGGTTACTGCAAAATCCTCATTTCCTCCCCATCAGCTGGGACTCGGGAGGCAGAGAATAGATGGGGGCGGGGCCAGTCAGAATTTTTACTACCGGTTCTCCGAACGACTCAAAATTTCCGCTACCGGTTCGCCAGAACTGGTCAGAACCTGCTGAAACCCACCTCTGGGTGCTGTCCTCGCAACCAAGAACAGCAGAAGGGGTGGGGTGGGGCGGCAGGTGGGACCCTGAAGACTCGTATGGGGGGAGGTCTGAATCCACAGATGTGGAGGGTGGGAGGAAGCCGGAGAGAGAAAAGCCACTCAGCACCCTTTTTCCAGTCAACCAAAAAACGGGGCCATGTTGGTTTCAAAAAAAACGAAAACAGAAAATTCTGGGGAATTGTCCTTGCCTAGCTTACAAAGCTGGGATGTCCCTCCTCTTTTTCCTGGACAGCAAAGCAGGGCTTGGAGCCTAGCCAGGGATGATAAGACACCGGGCCCAACTCCAGCTGCAGGCGTGGGGGTGACTCGGAGGAGGTGGCCCGTTTCCCCCTGTGAAAAGGCTGCGGGTGAGGGAGGGAGAGAGAGAGAATCTTGTTTGAGAAGTTGGTGAGGAGGAGGAGCAGAAGGGAGGGAGGGAGGGAGAGAAGGAAGGAAGGAAAGAAGGAGAGAGTTAAGGAAGGAAAAAATGAGGGAGGGAGGGAGGAGAAAGTTAAGGAAGGGAAGGAGGAAAGGAAGGATGGTAGAAAAGGAAGGAAGGAAGGAAAGAAAAAGATGGGGAGGGAGGGAAGGCGGAAGGAAGGAAAAAAGGGAGGGAGGAGAAAGTTAAGGAAGGAAACGCGGAAAGGAAGGATGGTACGAAAGGAAGGAAGGAAAGAAGAAAAAGATGGGGAGGGAGGAAGGAAGGAAAAATGAGGGAGGGAGGGAGGAGAAAGTTAAGGAAGGGAAGGAGGAAAGGAAGGATTGTAGAAAAGGAAGGAAGGAAAGAAGGAAAAGATGGGGAGGAAGGAAGGAAGGAAAAATGAGGGAAGGAGGAGAATGTTAAGGAATTAAAGGAGGAAAGGGAGGAAGGAAGGAAAGAAAGGGAGGGAGAAAGGAAGGAAGGAAAGAAGGAAAGAAAAAATGGGGAGGGAGGGAAAGAGGAAGGAAGGAAAGGAAGGAAAAGATGGGAAGGGAAGGAGCAGGGAGGGAGGAAGGAAGGAGAAAGGGAGGGAGGAAGGAAGGAAGGAAAAAGGAAGGAAGGGGGGAAAAACCAAGGAGGCCTAAACCCAGCCAAGAAATAGAGCTTCCAGAGGTCTTAGCTTGCAAAAGATTCTCTCCCAGAGACCCAAAACCAGTAACATTTGGAGAACAGTTTCCAGATGTTTCCTTGTAGGTGTAGCTGCCCATTCAGACATCAGGACTCCCCCTTCGAAACACATTCTGTGAGCTTGGGCTTTGGGCATGGCCAGGACAGACTTCTCTTTCCCTCCTTAGGGTCTTTTGAAGACGTATAATTCATTCAGATTTCAGCCGGCTGTTCAGAGAGCAGCAGCCCTTCCCTGAGCTTGACATTTTTTTCCCAGATGTGCAAGACTAAGGTGCCCATGAGCCTCAGCCAGCCTCTGGCCCAGGAGATCAAGCCTGAGGGAGTGCGGGATTCCTTAAAAAAAAATCCTAAAACTTAGGATTCGAAAGCATCCATTCCCTCGAGCTTCCTCGTTGGCGTCACCGATGGAGCAGCCGACCCTTACAAATTTTAATTTTGGGGGATATTTTCCACGCACCCCTTTTTGTGCATCCTTTCCCCTGCCCGCTTTTAAAATCTCAGCAGATACGTCCGGCCACATGTCAAGATTTATCTGAAACAGTGTATAGGTCCGTGATGGTGAACTTATGGCACGTGTGCAATAGGTGGCACGTGTAGCCATATCAGTGGGCACGCCAGCTCAGCTCTGGCACGCATGTGCATGCCGGCCACCTGATTTTCAGGCCTTTTGGGCCCACCAGAAGTAAGGAAACAGGCTGTTTTCTGCCTCCAGAGGGCCTGGGAGTAGGTGGGGAAGGCTGTTTTCGCCCTCCCCAGATGCATAGAGAGGATCTGGAGCCGGGTGACAAAGAAAAACGGGCCAGGAGCAAGGGGGGAGGGGGGGTTGGGCAGGGCACATAAAATTATGGGTGTGGGCACGTGCGTGCGTGAACCTCCCCCACCCCCCCTTCCTGGCACACAATGGCAAAAAGGTTAGCCATCACAGGTATAGGTTTTCCTGCTCAAGCAGAGGGCTGGATTAGAAGACCTCTAGGGTCCCTTTCAGCTCATTTTAAGTCTAAGCCTATTTCCTAGAGAACTGGCGTCGAGGGAAGAGCTGGGGGAAGAGTTTTCACAAGTTTTTTTTTTATTTTGTTTCGGTTGCAGAATCCCTCAAAAGATACAGCTTGTTATCTTCCCTGTTTGGGTTTCCAAATATGTAGCTGAATGTCGACAACTCGGGCAACAAGTCCTGTTATCCCCAGTGGTAGTTTTTTGTGTACGTGTGTGTAAAAGAAACAACTCTTACTTGAAACAGTGAAGCCGTCACTTCCCTCCTCTCCCTCCCCGCCCCACCTCAGCCGACCCAATTTTCTTTAGAATAATCAACGTAGATTAAGTACACTTTACACCCGAGAGTTACAAGAGAGTTCCTCTTAACGTTGGCCATCATTAAGCCAACTGGATAACAATACCCATCATGCTCGTCGGTGCCTCTTTGTGCCTCTTCCAAAGTTGTTTTGGAAGGATCTTGCGTTGGAAGAAGATCTGCAGTTCCAAAAACACGGGAGTATAAATTTTGCAGGAAGGTCTCACAAACACGGAAAAGAGCCTCCAAAATAAGACAGGAATAGAAATGAAAATTTTAGCCTTCTTCACCGCAAGCACTTAAGGTATTGCTGACACCTACAAGTTTGTTGGTCCTGATGAAAACGGGAAG